GCCACCTCCTCAATAAATATATCGTTCAATTTTGTACCCCGCAACTGTGTCCTGTGTTCAAGCCTGGTTCTGACAGTACACACTGGCCAGTATGAACACAGCGGTGGCAGGGAAGCTAGCTGTAGCTCTAGCTGCACAGGGGACTCGCTTGTCACCAACAGGAGGAGCAGGTGGCTGCATTACACCAGGGAGTCAAGGGGCTCACCCACAGCTAGGAGAGCTTTAAGGCAGCAGTCAGAGCCTAGGTAGGGCAGATTAATGAACAAATACAGCAGCTACTCATTCTCCTCAAAAGACTAACCATGGAAGATGCCAAGCCTCAGACCCAGCCTGTCCCATCGGCTCCGGTTCACCGTATCTCCCATGTCGGAGCTGAAATACAGGCTGGAACTTCTCCTGAGCGTTTTTCGGGAGACCCAGGACTGTGACAGTCATTTATCATAGACCGTGGGGGGCCAAGTGGGCCATGGTCGAATGGGCAAGAGACTCCGCGATTTGCAACTCCATTGCAGAATTCACAGAGGCTCTCCGTAAGACCTTTAACCCCGTTTCATCTGAAAGTGAGAAAGCACGGGAGCTGAGTGGACTGAGTCAAGGGACGGCGTCTCTCTCTGACTATGCCATTCACTTCAGGACTCTGGCAGCTGAGAGTGGGTGGAATGTCACGGCACTTTCTGATGTCTTTCTGAAAGGGCTGACAGGAACCGTTTTGCCGTTAGACTTGCCTACAGCTCTGGACTCTCTCATTGCCCTTGCCATTCGAACCGACAACCGGCTTCAGCAGTCCTGGGCCCTCCAAGGAGGACAGCAACACAGGCCGGTCCACCCACAGCAGGTTCCAGTCGCCGGTTTGCCTTCCAGTCATCCAGCGGCAGAACAACACCAGTTTCTGCATGTGGAAGAGGAGGAACCCATGTATCTGGGCAGAACTCAGCTCACCAATGCCGAATGCCAGCATCATCTCAAGGAGAGGAGCTGATTTTACTATGGGGAGTCTGGACACCTTGTGGCCGTCTGCCCAGCTAAAGCAAAGTGTGTGGTGAGCCAATTCACTTTCTCAACTTTGTCTTCACGCAGTTTGACCCCTGTCAAAGTAAGACACCAAGCCACCATCACAGAATTGAAGGCTTTAATTAACTCCGGGGCTGATGAAAGCTTAATGGACTGGGGGCGAGATCTCATTCCTGGATCCATCATTCACAAGGGACATCTATACTCTGTGCCAGGCCCCGAATGACAGGACATGAAGGGCTACATTGAGTCTTCACTGAAGGCAGGACTCATCCGGCCATCATTGTCTCTGGCTGGAGCTGGATTCTTCTTTGTAAACAAGAAGGATGGGTCCTGAAGACCACCTATTGACTACAGTCCTCTCAGTGAAATCACTATCAAGAATGACTATCCACTCCCTCTAATATTGTCTGTCTTTGATCAGCTTCAGCAGGCCACCGTTTTCGCAAAACTGGATTTAAGAAATGCATATCATCTGATCTGAATTAGAGAGGGAGATGAGTGGAAGACCAGATTTAATTCTCCCTCAGGTCACCGAGTCATGCCCTTTTGCCTAACGAATGCTCCTGCAGACTTCCAGGCCATGATCAACGATATGCTCACTTCCTGGACCAGTTTGTCTGTGTTTATCTAGATGACATATTAATATATTCCAGACATCTAGACGCTCATCAGCATCATGTGAGCCAGGTGCTCCAGCATCTCCTAGATAACCACCTATATGTCAAGGCCGAGAAAAGCATGTACCATGCTGACAAGGTTTCCCTCCTGGGGTTCATTGAGTCCCTTGGGAGGCTGCAGATGGATCCAGCCAAAGTGAGTGTTGTGACCAAATGACCTACACCTGAGAGCCGTAAGAAGCTGCAACAGTTTCTGGGATTTGCCAACTTCCACAGACGCTTCATGAGGAATTTTAGCAAAATTGCTGCTCCTCTCCATGCTCTGACCTCACGTTCGTTTCCACTGGTCTCCAGAAGCGGAGGAGGCATTCCAAACCCTCAAGCATCACTTCACATCAGGGTTGTGTCAATGGAACCACCCTGCCCACCCATGTTTTTGGAATGTGGGAGGAAACTGGAGCACCTAGAGAAAACCCAAGCAGGCACCGGGAGAAAATGCAAACTCCACACAGGAAGGCCGCAGCTGGAATCAAACCCTGCACCTCTGCACTGTGAGGCACCACTCGATCACCGGGCTGCCATGAAGAAACTCGAAAGTCATAAAAGAGACAGCTGACGAAACAACTCATCCAGCCATTCATTTTCTAATTGTCATGGTTCTGTTTGTGACCAACAGGTGGCACTGTAGGGCTTCGCCTACAGCTGCACACCTGTTGGTCGTTGTGTTATTAGTTGTTGAAAAGGACTCCCGGCACGACCACTCGGTGTCCGGTCATTGTTTCTGTCATGTTTCTGTAACTGTTAGTTTTTTTAGTTTTTTTTTGCTTCAGCCATGGTTTTTGTTTGTTACTTTGGACTCTTTTTGTTTCCATGACTTTGTTTTTTTGGATTTATTTTCCTCAGTATTTTGTTAATATAATTTGTCAACTTCACCCTGCTCCTCCTTCCTGCCTGCTTTTTGGGGTCCTCCGCCACCACGCATCATGACACTAATTTGCTTATCCTCACGAGGGTCGTGGATATATGTAATTATGGGTGTGGGTGGACGGGTGACAATTTTATTCAGTATAAAAATGGATGCTGATTGTGTTAACAAGTTTGTGCTTTGTATCGCGCCCACACCCCCTCGATATAGACTTGGTCCAGCCAATGCTAAAAGTCTAGCTTTGCCCTTGCCAAGGCTTAATCCAACTCACACCCCAAATCAACATATGTTAGCTCCAGCTCACCCATGACCATAAGCAGTTGAAAATGAATGGATTTTCCCCAATTAATTATTGTTCTATCGCTGATTTCATGTTCTGACAATAAGTAAGGGCTTGTTTTGTCATTGTTTAGTAGTCACAGCGCGTACTAAATTCCACTTGCTTATTTGAAATGCGTGGTTGTTAGTGAATGCCATTTGTCCCTATCTGCAGCCAGTCTGACAACAGAGATAGTGTGTGTCTAAAGATAAAACACTCTTTTAAAAAGCAGCCTGACATGTCAAGCAGTTGCCTCCTGTCAGCTGACAACATAGTGAACCCCAACCAGGCCAGGCACTGTTGCACTGAAGAGAAAGATTTGATGTGGAAGTGCAAAATAGATATATTATGTCAAACAAACACCAATGCTTGAGGGAAAAGCAAAGAACAGCATTCAGGGTTTACGTCATCCTCGGCTCGGCTTTCATCGTCACTACGCCAAAAAGACGTTTATTTACTGCTTTCATTTGAATGTTTTAAATTTACATTTAGGGCCAATAGTAGTTTTACACAAAACATTTATTCTGCCATAATTAGTGGTCGACAACACCACTTGCATTCACAAAATCGTTTTATGCTTCGAACTTTAATGTTTAAAAAATATCAGTGTTAGTGAGAAAATCATCTCAGAATAAATCTATTTTGTAATCATGTATGCCCATAGTAACCATAAATGATTATAGTTATAATAATAATAATAATAATAATAATAATAATAATAATAATAATAACCATTATTATTAAACAATAGTTAATAAACTATTATTATTAAACAATCCCAACGACAATCAAACAATCCGATGTTTAGTGAAAACAGTTTGCACAGTACCTTCCCAACTCTTCCCCAATTTCATAGAAATCTTCAACTTTCTGTTGCTTGAAAATATCCATGTTTTAAGTCCTCACTGTAGTTTAAAAGCGCAGGTTGATCCTCGTAAATATTTGCTGGGCCTCGAGTGACGCAAGAACAAAGTTCTTGAGATGAAACTCTCACTAGACCGATCGAGTCCCCTTGAAATTCTGTGCCGTAGCTGTCTGTTTTTCCATGCACAACACCAACGTAAACAAGACAGTGGTGAGTAGGAAAATGTCTTGCAGAGTTAAAAATAGTGTCAATTGTGAACTCCGTGACCTCTGTGGATGGCTCTCAATGTCTCTCTGCCATATCCTGACACCTGGTGTGCTCCCATTACAGACACATGCTACGTGCATATTGCTGGAAAACCTTTGGTTTATGAATCTGTACTCCTTTGATGAAGTGCAACGTATTTGTCTATTAGATATAGGCTACTGTATATTCTTTAATTATGTTTAATGAATGCAAGTGTGCAAGTTATGCAAAAGTAGAGATGTCCTGGGCGAGCTTTTATGTGGCGTGCCTCGATTTACATTTACACTGTCATGAATTTCTGTAAATCCGCAGTGAATTTACGACAGTATTTTACAGTTTATTTTTAATAATAATAATGATAACAATACTGTTAAATATTCATCCATAGCATTTAAATTGACAGTTAAACCACTCAGTTCACAATAACAAACAGTAGATAACTGTAATTTAATAGCATACAATTATGGACTGCTGTAAACTTCCGATGTTAGAATACTGTACGTAGTATTAGTATTTGCAGGGTAATTAAATCACACAAGAATACTTTTTTTTTTCCAAATTTAAAATCTTGATTTGAATTTTGAATTTGACTTTTATTTGGTCTCCCATAGGAGAAACTTGTCTCGGAGAACAGGCCCTTGGTAAGTGGCACCTTAACCCACGGCCTGGAAAAACTGAGTGCAGTCCTTAGCAAGCGTCGTTGCCTGAACTGATGAAGCCTACTCAGATGAGAAGCAAAACATCTTCAAAGAGGACAATGGGTTGCGATCAATTCAATGCCCTGAGAATGAGATGACCTGGATGAATAAAAATGTGCACAGGCATTTAATGAAGGATTTTTTTTGTTTGTTTGTTTTTACCATGCATAGTTAAATGGTGACGATGACCTTCCAATATATTACCGCTGTATTGTGATAAAGTCAAGTCACATTTATTTATGTTATATATTAATCACAAAAAGTCTCAAAAAGCTTCACATGCCCACAGTTGACAAATAGTGAGAAGGAGCCCCAGATGGGAGAATCCCCTTTTTCTGTTTTCCCCCCTCACTTTTTAAAGTACTGTGCTTGCTGCACACCACGCATGCAGCAGGCACACGGAACATACTGTAGATAACCAGGCAAAGGCAAGCCGAGTGATGAAGCGATGATAAAGTCAAACAATACCGTTGTTAACACGAGGGAGCTGTTTTATAGTCAAATGAACGCCTGTCCTTCCTTTTGAGAGATGATCCAAGCAGGGACTATTCATTCAGGACTAGTGCTCTGTGTGTTGGTTTCATGACAAACGTGTCGGGATGGAGACGAAGTTATCTGTTGATCTGCATCTGGATTCCTCTGAAGGAGGTCTGAAGGAGCTCGTGCTTCGGTGGTTCATTGGGACACAGGCACAGATCATTCTGCAAAATGGAAACTTTCCCAGCTGGTTTCAAGGCTTCACTGGAAGAAAGTAAGAAACAAAAAACAAAGATTACCTTTCAAAGCATGAAATCGTTTTCAATGTTCCAATTTCTCTTTATGACGAACGAAATTTGGCATTTTTAAAAATAATTTGTCGAGATGAGCAGACATTTTGCTTCAACAAAATAGAAAGACGAATCTGTACATGTCAATGCCATCTTAAATGAATTAACCTACATCTCTTCACATATGGGATTTTAACTGTATCTCACAACTGTAAAGATACAACACACAACTTTTTGATGAACATCAGCTATTTAACACACCAGAATAATTCTATTGTATGAGTAACCTGTATTTATTTGATATTTTCACCCTTGTATTTTCCCATGCTGTTTAATATTAGCATGTTCACTTAGCTCAACAAATTCTCTCTCCCTGGTCCATATGTCACTTTATTTACTATAAATTTTGCGTGAAGGAACTCAAGTCTCAAATCACACCATTTAATTGTTTTTTTTTTCATTATATAATTAGCTGAGGCTCACACCTGTTACATAACATCTGAATTATTGCAGTTTGGATGTGTGTATTTTGCTATGATGACATTTACTCTCCATAAACATGTACCAAGGAGTTACGCCAGGTGACTTGAGAATATTACACTACTCTCCCATTCACAGAATTAGAGTGGACATGTCAACAAAGTCTCTCAAAGAACCAATGGATGATCCATCAACCCTTCATTTTGTGTGAAAACATTCCAAAAGGGTGTACCACTGTCTTTTTATTAACGACAGGAAATCCATTTATCGGTATTTAATATTGTCATTGGGGCATTTTGGGGATGGAGTATGTTGAAAATCTGATCAAGCCTTTGAATGTAGCCGACCATCAAGTGACATTCAATACCTGACACATTGAATTCTTCATGTCGGTAACAGAGCTAAAAAAGGCTTTCATGGTTTCAAAAAGACAACAACCCCCCCCCCCCAAAAAAAGGCACCAATAAAAAAGGCAATTGGAATCATCTGAAAGTGTCATAGTGCTGCCGTGCAATTGTTAACTCACTTGAAATATGACACAAATCAGTTGCTTCTGATGTTTGTTGTCTGCCTCCCCATCACAGGCATGCAGAGGATCTCCTGGCAGATAAAGCTGCGGGCTCTTTTCTCATCCGCCTCAGTGATAAAACCATCGGCTACATCCTTTCCTACAAGTAAGAAGTTGAAGCTGAATGTACAAAGAACCATGAAGCACATAGACTAAGATAGAATTTAGTGAGTTCAAGAGGTGTAATATGCAGATCAATACAATTTGACCAGCACAGATCATTACAACTCTCGATTTTATAAAATCAAATGAGAGGATGGTCCTCTGACAGAAGAAAATTGTGGTTATCACTTCATTTGTTGCTAAGCTACTGCATGTAAGACACCTAATTTTTACGCCTATAGAAAGATAACTATGGAGTTACTCCCACTTTTGCAGCTGTAAAAGCTTTCTTGAGATGTTCATAATATTTTTGATGTGATTTCTTTGTCCATTCATTGTCCAGAGAGTAGTGCTCATTTTAGCAAAAACAATAAGTTGTGCATTTCCTCTACAGGGGCCTTGACAGGTGCCGCCATTTTGTTATAACTCAAAATCAAGAGGGACTTTTTTTCATATCAGGTGACTGTCACACCTACTCCTGCATCAGTGATCTTATAGATCATTATAAAGTAAGCCCTATCCAGCCATTTGGAGAGTATCTGACAACCAGCTGTTTTGAGGTGAGGTCTTTGAGACTAACTTTCAGTCCTCTTGAATGTGAGTGAATGAAGGCCCAAGATTTATTAGTTTTTTTTTTTTCATCTGAAAAACATTGCAGTTGTTAACCATCCCACTGCAGGATTATATTGAAACCATGAATTAAAAGGAGAGCCAAACATTTCAGCTAAGAAAAAAAAAAGACAAACTACAACACTGACACTCATATCTTTTTAGTATCTGTTGTAGCTGACTTGTTTTGGTTAGTGAAACAAGTGTGTTTTTAAGTAGCTATGAAGAGCCGATAACAGGGGTTGTTGTTCTTTCCAGGCAAACACAGGTGAAGTGTATGATGTGGTGAATTACAATAGCAAAGGGGAATCAGGAGTAAGTGTCCATGCTCTGCAGGGCCGTTGGGACCCGAATAACAAGAGCATTGCTGGAAACAATCAAAGGATCCAGGAACAAACTGATGGTGGACGCACCACCGTTCAGCCACCTGCACTGCCACCGAAATTCAGAAACAAAAAACTGACTGCAACCCAATCTGTTGACTCCATGTCCCTTTCTCAGGTATGAAACAGTGACGCACTGTAAATGCTGGCGGATCCTGATTTTTGCGTCAAGCGCATGGTTCGATCTGTGTGTTTGCAAATTTGGCAGATCGGTCTCTGCCAAGCTCCACGAAAGAAGGTTTTTGTTTCATGTACTCAGTATTATTTTGTCAATTGGTTGAGCGAAATAAAATCATCTGAATCCAGATACATTTTTTAAGTGGACTAGGAAGCGACTTAAAAATTAACGTGATCCAGATGATTTATTTTGCAAAGCCATTTGATTACGTACAATTGTGTAAATTCTACACACAGTGTTGTTTGTTTCAGTGTGGTTTTTCAGTTGGGCAGGCAGGCACATGGCCAATTTGGAAAGTCAGTCTAAACTTGCACAGACCACGTTTGACACTAGCGCACGATAGACAGCTCTGCTCTAACATGATTTATTCATTCATAAATATGTGAACAGCAGCCATCAAACCCTCTGAATGCATTATATTTTTTAAACCATCCCACCTGGGTGGCACAGCTATTGGGGGACACTTGAAATATCAAGTGTGGAGGTTGTTCTCCAAGTCCAGTGCAAATGTGCTTCCTCCATTTTGAGACTCTAATATGTGACTAGCATAAAAGCGAACGAAAGAAGACACTTCGCAGCCTTCCCACTCACAGAAATGCCCAACATTGGTTCTAAACTGCTTTCGCCAAGAGTTGAGCTATGCAAGTCCGAAGCCGATTTAAAACGCTAATCACAAAGAAACTTCTGATTTCAGTGACAGCATATTGAATTTGACATGATTTTTTTCCAGGCTCCTGCTGTTCCAAAAAGGGGTGTTCCACCGGCATTCTCCCTTAGTGGATCTTTTTCTGATACGTCACAACCAAGCAATACCCAGAAGGTCACAAACAGGGCAAAAAGAGAAAACACAACCTTAATAACCAGCCGGTCTTCACATTTATACACTGACGCAAGCTATCCTGGGGACCAGGTGGCTCACTCTCAGCATACGTCTGTGGGTGGCAGAAGCAAGTCTGTCCCAGTGATAAACAAAAACAAACCAGATCAACAAGAGGAGACCTACTCAAACCAGTTGAACAGTCCATCACTCACAGTCTCAGCATCTCAAATCCATGTTCCTGCCAAGACGGTCACATGCCACACATATTCGCTTCATGACCCCACAGAGTCTTTGACACTGAGCAACCTTTGGTCAGAGGAGCAGAGTTATGACCTGGAATTGTTTAGGTCCAACCCGACCTCTGAAAGGCCTAAAAGGAGTTCAGTCTCTCCGAGAGCCACCATGTATGCTGAGATTGAGCAGAAGCCAGCAGTCATCACTTTCCCTGACAGCACCTACGAACAGGTCCCCGGCAAGTCCATGGAAAACCAGGCAAACACTTACGAGTCTCTTGATGATATCAAGACCAAGATGCCCAAATCTACATGGGGAAAAAATGTGAGTCAGGTATAAAAGGCTGATATGTTGACAAATATTTGAGTTTTTATGATTTTTTTTGTTTTGTTTCCAGGATATGAAATGGAAGAAATTTCTCCCTGATTATATGAAGAAATAAATGTGGAATGAATAACCTCTGGAGTGAAAATACAGATTTTGACAAAACCATATATGATAACAAGAACATTTTAATGACAGAACACTGTGTTGATCTTACAACAACTTGTTTCTTGTTCCTACCAAATCAAGCATTGTATATCAATTTCAGTCAACAAATTTGAACTTCTATTGGTCCATTCATTGTCTCTCAAACATTGTATTAGGTCAGCACGTGAAGCAGACATTTTATATGACCAGCCAGCTGTCCATTTAAATTAGCGCTGGTCCTCCTTAGGGTCACGGATGAACTGGATTCTATTCCCAGCTCACTTTGGGTGAGAGGTACATCTTGTTGCACCAGCCAAATCGCAGGACACTAACAACTGTCCCTCAAGGGCTGCTGTCCTGCCTGTTTTTGATGTGTCCCTCCTGCAATACACCTGATTCAAATGATCAGGATCCTTTTCGGGCTTCTTCACACCTTGCTGATGCGCTGATCATTTGATGTAGGTAGCTTTCGAGAACCAGAGCTGAACACACTTGATTATAGTGTCCTGCACCCTCACATCTCATGAGTGGGCAAAAGTTGCGAGGTGCACCAGATGGAGGATTTCATGCAAGTGTACATTTTTTGTAGGAAACCAATCAAAGTGTCAGAAGGAGGATTATTGCTTCCATACAATTCAACCAGTAGATGCCACGTATGAATCTCTTAACCTTCCTTGCTCATGCGCTCAGATCAAACACTGACATTGTGGAGTTAAATTATTAGAGTGAGACAATTTTCTTTGTCCTGCTTGGCCTGTATGTATATCCTATCTATCTATCTTTCTATTTACTAATCTGTTTATCCCCACAAGAGTCGCGGGTGTGCTGAAGCCGATCTCAGCTGTCTTCGGGCAGGGGACGGGGGACACCCTGAACTGGTTGCCAGCCAACCACAGGGCACACAGAGATGAATGACGATCTGCGCTCACATTCACACCTAGGGACAATTTCCCGTGTTTCGTTAACCTGCCACGGATGTTTTTGGAATGTGGGAGGAAACCGGAGTAGTCGGAGAAAACCCACGCAGACACGGGGAGAGCATGCAAACTCCACACAGGCAGGCCGGAGCCGGAATCGAACCTGCACATCTGTACTGTCAGGCTAACATAATTGTGAAGTACTGTACTGTACTATATTGTAATGTAAAGGTTTGGAGTTCTTCTGGTGATCCATTGAAAGATGAAGGTAACTGTGTTTTTTTTTTAGTTTGGTAATATCCTTAAATACGTGAAATGCTCTGTAATCCCCCTCGTCGGCTTCTTTCCTATTGATGCGTGCGGGTGAGTGTGCTTGGAAGTGAGACGATAGTATACAGTGTTGGGGGAAGAGCGGCCTCCTCTTTCCCGCGTGTTCGTTGAATTTCGGACGAGGAGAATGTTGGTCATCCAAATAAAGGCTGGAGGCGATGTACAGTTACTTCGAAGGGGTTTTAATTTATTTTCTGCAGTTTACGAATCGATTCGGGCTCCTGAGGGGTCCAGATTTGAATCAGGAAGCCTAGAAGAAACACATTCATGAGATTATATAGAGACAATATGATAATGAGAGGCGGTTAGGTACGCCTCTCATGCAAATCCCGGAAACAAAGAAAGTAACATGACATCTGACCCAGTGTGGCTGGAAGAAGTTGGGAGTGGTGAGGTGAGACCAGACCACCACTACCCACCATTTGGTGTGATGGCAAGTTCCAGAACCCCCGCTGTGCATACATCCTGAGATAAGAGGTCTTCCCAGGGGGGCTTAACAGCGATCAGGGACCGACCCAAGGTGCGGGGGAACAACGGAAGAGACACTTGGGGGGCCGTTAATCAACCAAGAAGAAGAAGATAAACTTTAACACCACATATGTTGTTTTAAGTGTGCAAACAAATGTTCACGAAAGAGACTGAGATCAATAGTACTCATAGCAAAGCGCAGTCCCTCAATAGCTGCAACACAGATACTTGAGATAACAGTTCCTCTTTTGATGTTGACATGTCCTCTGGAGGGGTCATAAAAGTAGTGGGGGTGAGGGGGTACCAAAGGTGATTGTAATCACAGTAAGCAGGAAATACCTTCAACAGCATTCTACATTGTTTCATTCAAATCCAGCTAACAGAGAGGAATCATATCTTAACAACAGACAATTGTCTGTGAATCAGCTAGGGTATTTTTTGAGCCTGCTACTCAACTTTTCCTAAAAAAATCTGTTATGTTTCTGTGTTACAACATTTACTACAAATACATTTAAATACAATTTAATACAACTCTGCTCTGACAACTTCAAGATGAAGATGCAAAAATACATTTACAATGGATTCAAATAGCTTCATATTACAATGTTATAAATATATTTTACTTTACTTTTAACTTTAAGTTCGGTATTTGTAAGTAATTGTTACAGGATTGAGTCATCTGCAGTGATGTCATTTGCTGATCAGCACAAAATGTCACTCGTTTGTGGAAGAATCTGAAAGAATGACAGTTATGTTGACATAAAAAAGTCTCAACAGCCAAGTATATTCTTACATAACAATCTTCAGCAAAACATACTTATGATTTTCAATGTACGTACGTTCGATTTAGTACCGTATTTCCAACAATGTACTACACTACGAATCCGAATCTTAAGCACTGCACATGGAAATGACACTTTGTCAGTTCCTGTTTTTGACCGCTAGGAGTAAGAGAGCTCTTATTGTCCGATGAGGCACACGAAGAAGAAATCGCGGAAGTACGTCTTCCAAACAGATTCCTTTTGGGCAGACTAAAGCCAACTAGATCGTTTCTTACCATTAGAACGAGGTCAATCTTGGGCTGACTATTACTCAATAAGATAATGGGCACCAGAGATGACGAATATGATTATTTGTTCAAAGGTAAAATGACTTTTTTGTCGTTATGTTGTCCCTTGCTTCTGTTAGCTGTTAGGCTAAACTTAGCCGACACTACCTTTGTGCTGTGATTGCTTTTCGTCAAGCTTCTCGGAAAATGTCAGCGAGCTTAATTAATTCACACGTCACAAAAGTGGTATCTGCCAATAACAGGTATTGTAAAAAGAAAAACACGTTTGAAACTTCGTTTGTGATTTTAAAATGCCGGGCCTTTTGCTAGTGCTGGGTGCGGACTAGCGGACACGCCTAACCTTTCCCGTTATCACATTATCTTGACGGGGTTGCCAGTAGGAGCGAGTTCACGCGCTTTATTCAATGCATATCAATATTACCAATGGGGAAAAAATAGACATAGTAGATGAAATGCATCATATGCGTAACGTAGCGAGTTTTGAAACTAAAAACATTGAATCGTTTGGTACAGCATTGAATTCGATTTCAAGTAGGTCATCTAAACACAACAGGAAGGACTTTTCATTAACATTTTCGAGCAATTGGCATACGAATTAACCTAATGTTGACAACATAATTGAAAAGCATTAACTCATTAATAGTCAGTGTATGTGCCCGTCTTGGAAAACCCGTCTTCACTGACTAAAATTTGCATTTACATTCATGACACGTAAACAACTTGAAACCCTAATCAACCAACTTGAGCAATATCACAAAGGGATTCTTGTTAGTCCGACGTTGTTTAAATGATATAACTGGGATGGTTGGTGTTTGAATTCCAGTAGATCCATTGTATTTATGATGCAAACTACACTCACTCACTCCACTTAGGGACACCTGCACGATGTAGTGAAATGTAGTACTGTATATATTCAAATCCAATTCTGAAGAAAGCTCCATTTTAATTAACGCCAGCTAGCTATATGTTTATTCACATATCCAATTCCAAGAACTGTCTCGAACCCCATGAGGAAAATGTTATTTGATTGTTTTATTTCTTTAATATGACATTATCATAAGTAGTGTTTTAATAATCTTCAGCTACAAGAGGGGCACATTAGAAACTCCAAATCTGATTGTACACCGCTGCATATTTTGACCACAGTTTACCTTCCTGTCAACCTTAAACTGAGCCTTCATATTTTCATAAAGGCATAATCTTTAACAGAGCATTAAATTAGGTTATATTAGTCTGCAGGTGTACCCCGCCCACACCTGCTATCTTTTATTGAAACAATGGATCCATGGAGGCCGCATTAATCCATGTTTTCTGAATTGCAGTGGTCCTGATTGGTGACTCGGGTGTGGGAAAGAGTAACCTGCTATCACGTTTCACTCGCAATGAGTTCAACCTGGAAAGTAAGAGCACCATTGGAGTCGAATTCGCCACGCGCAGCATTCAGGTGGATGGGAAAACGGTGAAGGCCCAGATCTGGGATACCGCTGGACAGGAGCGCTACCGTGCCATCACATCAGCGTGAGTACTGTCAGTGTTGAAATTACACTCAAGGAAGCCTCGGGAACCGGGAAAGCCCATTTTGTATGGGCCTATTACAGGCACAAGAATTCAAGTTGGCTGTGGAAACACAGTCCTATTTGGTCAAACATATGTGTAACCACAGCTAATTATTAATGTTTCGTAGTATAATTTTTTTAATGTATATTTTTTTACGATCTGCATTAGGCCAGTGGAAACTGTTTTTTCAACTGAAACATGTTTTGGCTCAGCTGTCAAGCTTCAGTTAGTTCAGTTAGTCTTTTGTCATAAATAATTTAGCGTGTAAATTTCAGGACCTCAGCATTTCCTTTCATACATTCCTTTGTGCAAATCATAATGTTCGTGTGTCAATAATGGTAACATATAAAAACAACAAAGAATTACCATCAGAGTGATAGAATAAATGTTTTCGACTGACCAAGCCAATGTTCAGACTTGAAACCAATAGTTTGTATTTTACCATGCTAGTAAAAGGGGACTTCAGGAGTAAGAGAACATTACAAAAGTATGTTGAAGTTTTAGCGATCCCGATTTGTGACAGTCTTGTTGCAGGTGCACTCCTAAATATTTAATTTGCTTTTAGGAGATGAGTGTCCGACATAGTGTGTGGCTGGAACAGTTTCAAAATCATTAAAAGTAGTCATCTCAAGGTGGAGAACTTTGACATATGTTATCTTCTTTTTGTCACATCCTCAATCACAAAACAAGTTTCAGCAATGACTCAAGTTTCAGAAGTGATTTTCAATCGGCCGCATTGCCAGTGACATAAGCCAGTTTGCTGAAATCAGGTTATCAACTGGTCGTAAATCAGTGGCTTTGTTGGCGTGAATTGACTCTGATGAAAATTGATGGCCGGGTGTTATGTCTAAATGGAAACTGCAGGTACTACCGCGGTGCAGTGGGCGCTCTCCTGGTCTATGACATTGCCAAGCATCTAACTTACGAGAATGTGGAGCGCTGGCTGAAGGAGCTGAGAGATCACGCTGACAGCAACATCGTTATCATGC